ACTGACAAGCTGATTCTAAAAGCTACTTAGAAATGCAAAGAAGCTAGAATAGCCAAAATAACTTACTATGAATATGGTTTTTAAAAAATAAAATGGAGTACTACTCAGCCATAAAGAATGAGAAATTAGAGACATTTATAGCTAACTTAATGCACATTGAGGCAACACTCTTAAATGAAATAAATAGGACATGCATGTGTAAATACTGAATAGTTTCTGTAGTGTGAGAAACTGAAAATGTAAATAAGGACTTAAAGTTATAATAGATAATGTGAAATAGGAAGAAAAGGGGCAAAGGGGAAGGGGAAGTGGGAGGGGTAGGGGAAAGGAAAGAAGGGAATGGAATTAATATGAGAAAATGAAAAAATGGTAACAAAGTCTTTGTAAATAGGTAGAGGTGGAGGGGTTGAAGGGAGGGCAGGGGAATGGGAAAAAAATAAGAACCAAGAGAGACTATGTAAAGGTACAAATTTCCAATGATGAATGCCATTATATTGTACATCTAAAATGTACCAATAAAATAAAAATTTTTTTAAAACCTACAAAAATCAAGTCAGTGTTATAATGTAGTAAGGACAAACATAAACCTCTACAGCAAAATACAAAGGTGCTGATCTAAAAGTGAGAGGATACTTATTTCAGGAAATGATGTATATCCAAATGCAAAAACAGGATGCTCAGCTCTTAACTTGCGCCATACACAAAAATTAACTTTAAAAAAGTCATGATAGACCTAATTGTATAAGTTTAATCCATAAAGTTTTTAAAATATGCAGGAAAAATATCTCTGTAACCTTGAATTATGCAAAGATTTCATAGGTAGCACATAAAAATATAAACTATAAAAGAAAAACTGAATAAATTGGAATTCAACAAAATTAGCACTTCTGTTCTTTACAAGACAGTTAATAAAATTAAGAGGCAACCTATAGGCTGGAAGATAATTTTGGGAACCATGTAGCATATCCAGAATAAAGAATTCTTACCACTTAATAAGATAATTGATTAAAATGGGCAGAAGATTTGAATGGACACTTTACAAAATAATGTATGTAAAAAGGCAAATAAGCATAAAAGATGTTCAACATTATTAGTAATTAGGAAAATACAAATTATAACCTCCTATTAGAATTATTAACATGATAACACCAAGTGTTGGTAAGAATTTGGAGTAAATAGGATGCATATATTGCCAGTGGGACTGTAAAATGGTCGAACCACTTTGGGAAAGAATGTAGAGACTTCTTAAAAAGTGAAACACATGGCTACACAGGACCTAGAAATTGTACTCCTAGGTATTTTCCCCAGAGAAATAAAGGGATATGTCCATATTAAGGCTTATATTCAGCAATAAAAAGGAATGAACTATTGATCACACAACAACATGGGCGAATCTCAAAACATTACGCTGAGTAAGAGTACATAAGAAGAAACTCTAGAAGTGAGAAATCTAATCTTTAGGGCTAGAAGCAGATCAGTGGGTGTCTGGAGTGAGTGTGCATCTGGGGAATTGAAGGGGAAGGGGTGTAAAGGGAACTGCTGGGTGATAGAAATGGTCTGGCCTTGATTGTGGTGGTGACATGTGTATGTACTTTTGTCAAGCCCTATATAACTGTATACTTAGAAAGGATTTTATTTTACAAAGAAATTTATATAATTTTATTGTACATAAATTATACCATAATAGAGATGGCTTAAATAAAAAATTCAGTAAAGCATTTGCATTTTTTCTCTCATCTTTTGGACATCTATCTTCAAGTTCTCAAATTAACGTGGTGGGCAAAATAGTTGTGTGACACTGGACAGGTAAGCCATTACTCTGAACAGGCAAGTTTCTTCATCAGTAAAATGAGTGAATTAGATTACATGACTTCACTAGTTCATTCAATAAATAATTATCAAGTCTAGTACAGGGATAACAGTATGCTAGGTCCTGAAGATATAAAGCTGAAAAAGAAACTACTTTTGCCCTGAAAAAGTCACATTCTAGTGGAAAAGAAAAACTAACATATGACTATGATACAATATACGTATATTAGGGTTTGAGGAGGATTCACAAGAGGAGCAGTCTTCCCTGATAATGAACACCTGAGTTGGGTTTTGAGGTACAGATTAGAGTCAAAGAGAGAAGAGAAAGCATCCTAAGCAGAGGGAGCCATATGGGCAAAGGGCCAAAGGGAAAAGATATCCCTGTTTTAGGTATTTCAGGTAGCTTAGGAGGTTTAGAAGTTAAAAAAATACTCTAGTTTGAGTAGTGTGTAGACGGGGTGCTGTATCTAGTGATACCCATTCAGTGTGGGTCACCTACATAGAGAATAACCACCATCACTTAGGATCCTTTCTGTTGCAAAGAAAATCCTTGGGGGTCATGTAACAAAATGGCCTAGGGGAAGCCCCATGGTACCTTGATTTGAGAGTCAACAAGGACAAAGAGCAGCTTTTCACTCTTTCCACTCCCAGATTTCAGGTGCTCAGATGCTACATCCCTGAAAGGTTAAACCAGTCTTGTCATCAAGTTTGGTTTAGCTTTCAATGCCTGCGGCCAGAGGGATGGTACATGGTGACTCCTTTGCCAGGCCAGAGAACTTAGGGTTGGGAGTCCACCTCACCTGAATTGCATGGGGAAGGGGTAGAACTGCAAAGAAAAGTTAGAGCCTTTGTGGAAGAAGAGAGACTAGAAATGGAGGGGAGTTATGTTTTAAGAAAAACAAATCCCAACAACTCTGGAAGTCAGGGGATACAAATACATATGGAAAAGTTTTTCTTGCATCTTCCATACATAGGACGAGTCAGTGAAAACTGCCTTTAGGAAACAGTGACAATTAGAACATTCATACAGAAAACTATCACTCAGTTTTATAAGAACCCTATGAGTGGATGAGAGAAAGGAATCATTCTAATTTACAAGTTCTGGTGTCTCTTCACAAAGAGGAGATTTTTTGAGTGGGATCTTGCAAAATGGAGAGACTCTTTCTGGCAAAGGCAAAATGAATAGCTATAGCTGGTTGAAGATCAGCATGCAAATCTGTTAAGGCTGAACAATGAATCAGTGTGGGAGCATGGAAATGGAAGGACCAAACTGTGAAGAATTATTCCTGCTATGCTACAGGGCCTAGACTTTATTCTCAAAGCAATGAAGAGCTGATTATTTTGATAATAAAAGTAACCCAAACCAAATCTGCACTTACAGAAGTAGAGGACACTTCTTGAAATAAGCAGGAAGAAATTAAGTATAGGGGATGAAGCTAAGTTACAAAGTAGAAGTCTGAGGGAGGGCAGGCCTAATGACTTCTATTTCCTCTAAAATACAGAAGAGCATATGCTGAGTGTGAGGTGGTGCTCTGCAATTAAGACAAAATGGAAATTTTAATTAGCTACACACTGTACAACCAAAACATTCTGATCAAAAAAATTATTAAATGAACTTCCAAATATAAGGTAATAACATATCACCTTAGTGAGTGAACTGGAACCCAGGAGGGTCGAACACACTGCCTAGTAGGCTATTTCACGTCAGTGTCAATGGCCATAGGTAAAATAGCTACGTATCACTGGTCACGCAGGGCTTTGTGGTGGGTCACTGGTGGAGCAGATGTGAAGGGTGTCAGTGGTTGAGAGGAGATGGCAAGAGGAAGGAAGCCAAATGAAGTAGCAGGAGGAGGTGCAATTAGAGGTGGAGTGGGTGTGGCAGCCTGGAACGAAGATCAGAATTACTGCCTAGAGCCACTTGTAACAAATAAAAGTATCTGCTATGTCATGATCCATTCATTTTGGGGTTTTTGGGAGATGGGGTCGCTCTGTAATTCAGGCTGGCCTTGAACTCATAGCAATCCTTCTGCCTCAGCTTCCCAAGTGCTGGGATTACAAGCCTGCACCACCACTCCTGGCTTCCATTAATTTTTTTTTTTTCCATACCGGGGATTGAACTCAGGACCTTGTGCTTGGGAGGCAGGCTCAGTGCCACTGAGCTAAATCCCTGGCACCATTAATTTGTAAAATAGTCTCAACTTATCAAGAAAAGTAATGCCAAAGCTAATGAAGTTAGATATTATTCATATATTATCTTCTACCACTTTATCTTAAAATGTCATAAAATTAATTACCAACAATATCTTATATTGCTTGGTGCTTTGGAGTTTAAAGTATCACTTTCATATATATTTTTTCATCTAGTCCTACACAATCCTATCAGGTAAACAGAGCAGGTACAATAATTTCCTGTTGTCTGTCTCCCTCTACCCACAAATTACAGATAATAGAGATTTAATTAATTAGGGACTTACATTGAGGACCAGACTTCTCCAATCTGTTAATAACAGACTACTATGCTGCCTCTTTCTAAAAAGTGTATGAATATTCTTCTAAGTAAAGAAGCAAGAGATGGGCATATCTATACACATTATCTATACACATTCTAATCATTGAAAACACGCCCTCTTCCTAAAGGTTTTGCCATTTACAGTAGCCTAGTGAGTGTGTGTCCACTCCATGAATGCATATTTGCACACATACAGTGGCAAAACATGATTAAAAATGTGTAACCTTCAAAAGCAATAAAACGGAGTTGATCAAGATTCAATCACAGAATAAATTATTAAATCTCAATAAGTCATCAGTTACCAGATGAATGAGTATTTAATATAGATTTTCAAATTTATAAACTATTCCAAACTTTGCCACATTTGAAGTCTTGTGCGAATTTCATACTTTTCCTAACATATGCTGTCAAAAATAAAAGATTCATAAAATACATTAGGATAAAACTCCAGTCAATCAATAGGGGTATTAATCTACTGATTTAAAATTTTGTTGAAGTGATCAGCATCTTGAATTTGAATCTAAAATTGAAAGATAATTGTTTTTGAATTTTCTTAATATACTGTAATTCCATATCACAGAAACAGCAGATCTTTCCAAAGTAATATGAAGTGAAACCCTTTACTTATAATAAAGACCCAAAGATCAGTGTCTTGCATAATGTCTTCTAGAATGAATGTCTATTACCTACTTGTGGTTTCTCTTAGCTTCTCTGCCCTAGCAGTAAATCTTGTTAAACCAAGCTTCAGAAAACAGTGGACATGTTTTTTTTTTTTTGGTACCGGTGATCGAACTCAGGACCTTGCGCTTGCGAGGCAGGCGGTGGAACCACTGAGCTAAATCCCTGGGCTGGTGGATATGGTTTTGATTCTTCATTGCCTTCATTCCCTGGGACGTCTTCCTTGTATTCTTCCAGAGAAACAGAATCTGGCATCATGACTCAGCAGTGGCAAGACCTCTAGGTAAGAAACAGAAGGCTGACAAGTACAAAGGGGTCTCCCTATGATTGCCTGCCTTTTAGAGAGTGAAGAATGAAGTATTATCAGATGAACATAAAGGCATTTGACCTTCCCAGTGGAAACATTTAAGAGACAAATAAAATGGAGGGGTATCTTGAAAATCTCTAGTGAGTGCAAAGTTGTTAAAATACCAAAGTACATTGAAATTTATACTTAAAAGCTGTGTTTTTCAAGACTTTTCACACTGCACCTCACCTCTGCTTCTGAGAGAAGAGCAATTTATGACAAAAACAATACATTATCTAGGGATAACTTTATAACCTGACATAAAAGAATTGTCCAAGAAGCTACATTAGCTCTTGAAGTTTATTACAGTATCATTAGTTCTTATTGCATATATTGTTGCATGCCTTTTACAAGTTAGGATATATATATGTGTGTGTGTATATATATATATATACACACACACATATATATACACACACACATATATATATACATATATATATATCTCAATTTAGCAGAAGTTACATCTATTGCTTCTCTCTTGAAAATCAGCAGCATGCAATGCAATATTTGGTGTGCAGGGTTATTGTTTCAAAAAGTGAAAAACTACTCAGCTTTAACTGAGGAGGGAACATGATCTTTATTGGCTTATATGCAAAATTTAATTTTGGTTTTATGCAGAGTTTGCATAGTTCATGATTAGTTCCTAATGAAAAACTAGAAGTGTTGTCAGTGACCTTGAAGAAGATCAGGTGACAGTAGCAAACAGAAAAATCTGAAGAAGAGGCATAACTTTTAAAGTAGAAAGGTCAGCAAGAACTGCCTGGAACAAAACAAAAACAAAAACAAAAAGAATTATTAATAGCAAAGTCTGTGAAAAAGGTACAACAGAAACACCATCACAACCTAAACTTTGCATCAACACACACTCTCCGTTCTTCAGATTTATCTCAAATCTCAAATGCTACAACTTTACTTCTCATTCCTGAATCTCTTAATGTTATTACATGCATAAAAAGCCAAAAGTGCAGTAGAAAATAACCTGGACCTTAGTCTTAAGCCTTCTTCAAATATACAAGGTAGCATGAGTTTATAAGAGGTCTAACATTTCAACTTGCTTCTATAAATAAACGTACATTATGAATCCTAGACCTGTTATTCCAGTGAAAGGAGTAACTGCGGGAAATCATTTTGAGATGGAACTAATGTTTATTCAGTTGCAAGACACATAAACATCCTCTTCCCTTTAAACAAGGCCTTTAGGCAGCTATTTTTAGGATAGGATTTACATTTGTGTGAGAGATAACAAATAGAGTAATATAGTTGAGCCACCATTTAGTTGAGCCACATTTTGGGTGTAAATTATAACATTGAAAAAAAATCAGCTTTAAATAATTAACTCACAATTAAAAATGACCCAAAAAAGCCTATGTGTCTTTACTATATCATCCACACATGCACTCTTTAACTTTCTCAACTAGTTTTTCTTTGTTCTGAGAGTAGAGTGCTTGGGCATGAACAACAATTAGAAAATGTAACTTAAACTGTAATAGTTTCTATTCAAATTCCTAGGTATTTGGTTTCTCATAATTGTTGTAGTAGTTTCCTATAATAATCTTGTTTAGGACTCCTTCATTGGTAGGTTGTTTTCAAGTGATTAAGGAATCGGAGTACATAGTATGACTTAGCTCAGAACTTATAGGTTTTCCCAGAGTTGAAGTATTTGGTTACCAGCAGTGTGTGCCCTGTGCATCAGGCGCTAAAGTGAGTGAGCCTGGCAGGCTCTCAGGAACTATTTCCATCCCATCCGACTGAAACTTATCCTTACTTCAGCTGCAGCCAGTGATGTCACCTCCATCAGGTTCACTGCTCGGAAAGCAAACACAGCAGCTGCCAGGACTGGAAAAGAATGCACACTACTTCAATGGCTGGCCACCTCAGGAGCTGGGCACAGTTACTGCTACGTCCATGAGCCACGAGGAGAGCTCAGCACCAGGCTTCACACAGCTGCGGCCCTGCGCTCTGCGGCACAGACTGGCGATGAGTGTGAAGTGCCCACTCAACACAGCAGTGCCTGACGGCCACACCGCCCCAACCCCACTGCTGTGGGCACAAGGAAAATCCAGGAGTCTTAAAGTCAATTTAAGAGCTGGGTGTGGCGGTGCATGCCTATAATCCCAGCACTCTGGGAGGCTGAGGAGGAGGACTGTCAAATTCAAGCCCAGCCTGGGCAATTCAGTAATTTAGCGAGACCCTGTCTCAAAATAAAAAATTATTTTAAAAGGCTGAGGCTGTAGCTCAGTGTGAAAGTGTTGGGTTCAATCCCCAGTACTGCCAAAACAACAACAACAATAAAGTCACTTTAATAAATTGCTTCTTTAATACCTCCATCTAAAATTAGAGTAGTTTAAAATGGCGTGAAGCTCGAATAACTGTCTTATAAATTAAGGTTTACTTTGACAAAGGTGCAATGGAGACCCAAATTTTAAATACATGAGAGTGTGTACCATATGTACCAAGCAAGTGTGCCAATATAAACATGGTAATAAAACCTTTTCTTAAAAGGTTTTAGAATATTTTATTATATATATATTTTTACATGCTCAGTTCTGACTTTCTTAGTGTCACAACTGGATACATGTGTGGGGAAGGTTGCTGTGGGATTGGTCCTGACTTTTATATGTGTTGGCTACAAGAAAAAGAAGTTGAAATTTGAAAATGATCATAGGAGAATTTGAAGTTCAACAGTATACACTAAGTAGAAGGCAATGGGATTGTTTCCATTAAACATATGCAAAGGAAAAATAAAGTTATGTCAACACGCAATATTTAGTAATATGTAGACTAACATAAAGTTCCATGTGAGAGAATGAATTACAATCAAGAGAATGCCCCATGTTTGAAGTAGGGGACCCTGATATGGAGATGGTATTGCCAGTAGACAAATCTTGACTTTTTTTTTTCTATCGCCATTGGTGATAGTATAACCCCTACCCATTAAATCATTGAAATTTAGGAAACTAATGGTAATAAATACTGAAACTATTCGGAAGGGTAGTTCCTAGGTATATTGCATAGTTAATTCAAACATGTATTTTTCTTAATCATATATTTTTTAAGATTACATTTTTTACTATGAGAATAACAACAGCAGTTAATTCTGACATGAGCCCGGGAGTTAGGTACTGTTATTGGCCCCACTGTACTAACGTAGAAAGTGTAGCGCAGTGAGCTGGGTGGCAGGTTGAGAGTCACACAGGTAGAAAACAGAGTGGACCCGTAACCAGGCTCTGAAGCCTGTGCGTCTGACCACTAAGTGACCCACTACTGAAGCTGCAGGAAGCCGCAATGACTCAGCCCTGCAGGAAAATCCATGTGCTTTCCTACCAGGGATCTGCTCTGCCACGCCCGAATGGGTTTCCAGGGATGGCACGCGGGATGCCATGTGGGTCTAACGGGTAGCAGTGGTGCCTGGGCAGCGGAGCCAGCACCAGGCCCAGCCATTTCCCCAGACGGCAGGGTGCAGCCAGTGACGGGAGGCTCAGCACCCTTTCTAGGAGATGGAAGACTCGGGACAGGCTGGCAAAAAGCATTAGAACCAATTGGAGAAGAAATCCTGGAGAGAGAAAGAGGCTAGTAGTAAAAAAAAAAACCTCAAAACTTCAGATCAGCTGAGATTATTCACGAGGTAACAGGGAATACAGATATCTGGGACGAAGAGTTTTCTTTTTAACCAAAAAGAAGAAAAGTATTTTTAAAGTTGTAAAGCTCCAATTTATAGAAAAGAAAACCATTTCTGTAGGCAAGCAATTTTTTGCAGCTTCCTAATGTGTAGAATCGTATTTTGGACAGTGGAAACATCTTAGAATATGATCACTATTTTCTTTTTTGTGTATGACTGCACACTGTATTGCTGAAGGCTTGACAAAATGTCCACATTTTCTGCTGCAGCAGGAAAGAGTTTTATAAAGTGGGAAACTGTTTTTCCAAAGGTAGATTAGGGGTGGAGGTGGGGTGGGGAGATGCTAATTGACCTTAGCATCCAAAATGTTTATGTGCTCATAACCCTTATTTATCTTGGTGTCACATCACAGAAGTTCCTTTCTGTCTGCTTCATGCTTAGTTTGCCCAGCCCTTCTACAGAGCAGGTTTGTTTGCCAAGGAGAAAAGATCTACACTTCGGGATATTTTCAACTGAAATCATGCTTCATTTGAAATGTAGAAACTCGGTTGGGGTTGGCTCAGTGGTAAAGTGCTTGCCTGGCATGTGGGAGGCTCTGGGTTAGATCCTCAGCACCATCAAAGGGGGGGGGGGGTGGAGGAGGAGGAGGAGGAGGAAGAAAAATGAGAAACTCTAATATTTACTTTTGGTATTTTAATCTATCCCTTCAGTTTGCTAAGTGGTGATAAGGCACAAAATGAGAACTTAAATTGGAAGAGGCCTTCTGTGTTTTCACATTCAACATATCTTTCAAATCATAAAACTTCTTGACTCTTCAGGTGATGGTTAAAGACTTTATTCTACTTTTGGAAAGTCCTAATTATTAGAAAGTACTGTCATATACTCTTCTCCCTTCTACAGAATTCTCTAATGTTTCTCTGAAATGACACAAAATACTATTATGATATTCCTCAAAATTTCTGGCATCCTCATTAGAGAGTTATTAGTCAACAGTCTGGTCACTTAAAAAAGGGTGGCAGGGGCTGGGGATTTAGCTCAGTGGTTTCACCGCCTGCTGCGCAAGCACAAGGACCCGAGTTCGATCCCCGGAACCAAAAAAAAAGAAAGAAAGAAAAGAAAGGGAGGCAGCAAGCATTGCTCAGCCTGGAAAATAGAACTTGAAGAGAGAAATGGGGAGAGATGAGAATGGATAAAACACGATAATGACCTTGGTTTAAAAGGAGGACATTTTAACAGGCCACGTTATCCAGAAATGAAGGGGGCCCCTGCTCAGACAGGGGTCACCCTACCTTAAGTAATTCAAATGGAAGTCAGAGACTCATCAGAAATGTTTGAAAAAGTTATCCCTGCTGCTCTCTGGTGTTCTCTCTCTCTCTTTCTCAGTATCACATGAGCCCAACCAAGTCTATGTATATGCGTTTATATGCCGAAGGTGGGCAGATCGTTCTTTTCTAACTCATTCTTTGTGTGGGATTTAAAAAAATGTTGCAAGAGAAGAATCTAGGATTGTTAAAAACATCAGCCAGTGATATTTATTTTCATGGTACTTTGTTTTATTCTAAATTTCCTTTTCAAAATGCCACCCAATAACTATGGCCCTCTCTGTATTCAAGAAAATGTTAACAGGATACCTAGAGAATCTTTGTGCCATAGTTTTCTTCAACTAAGCGTTATTGCACAGGAGCCGGAGAGGTGTTTTTAAATCATTATAAACTTAAGGTTTGGGGTGTGCAGAACAACTCTGCCAACTTTTCTAGTCTTCGTCTGTTATTGTGACAATATCCTGATTATTATTTGAATTTCCTGATAATCCCAATGATAAAAGTAATTGAATCTACTGCACACAAGGGAAGCAAAATAATATAACTAATAAGAAACATGTGCCTGGTATCTTACTATACAATTGCCTTGGTATATACCTGTGGTACAAATTACTTAATTATTAAATAGAGATGAGTCTCTGGCTTCCTGAGAAGAAATATTTTTTGCAATGAGAGAACAGCTAAAAGGGCAAATTCAGCCACCAGGGTGGAGATCAAATACTGTTAGCAAAAAGGGAAAGGTTTTCAATTCAATATAAACTGAGATCTAGAAGAGCCGACATTTCAGCTATGCAGGCTATGAGCCTTAATCTCAGTTTGAATTTTAGGTAGCAGTTGAGGAGTGCAGACCAGATAGCCAGTTTAGCCCAGAGTAGGTCAGAAGTACACCTACGATCTGCCATGACACCAGTTTGCTGGGAGATCATGAGGACTAAAAAGGCTGGACTAAAGAGGGAAGGGAAAGGGAGAACAGGCTTTCTTGGGAGCCAAGAAAAAATAAAGCAAACAAAAAACTAGAAATAGACTGGTTTTAGTTTAGACAGAAGTATCAGGAGTGCAGAATCTCAGGGCTTGAACTTCTAAGCCAGGTAACCCTATTAAAGATGCATGCATTAGTCATGACAACTGTAGATTCAATCTCTAATTACAGACAGTGAATATTAGAAAGAAATAGGCCTTATTATACAAATACGTGTTTGACAAACAAGCACTTACTCTTACCAGCAAGAACTTCCAGAGAGTTGTATCCTAGGATCCTATCCCACAAGAGCAAGAGTTGATCTGTAGCCAAGTATCCAGAGAAGGCACGAACCATCCACTTAAATGATATGCGAAGTCTGTAGGCAAGGAAAAATGAAATTTAGGTTTACCACTGCATGTTTTTCTTACGGAAGGGCAATATCATATGAGCCCAACCAATTCTACTGTTAAGGCAACTCTTTTGAGTCTTACAAATCACCTTGACATTTAAATCTCAAGTCCATTCCTAAAATCTGCAGAAGTGCAGTGGTGAGAATTTATCAGCCCTCAAATTAGTGGTCTTAAACTGTGAAGAGGAATCATTTTGCATGCTGGGCCATTCTTCATGTTGAATTTGGCCTTCATAAGGAAACTCACTTCTACATTATATTTTACAGAGTGTGATCAATGAGCTGAGCTTCTAAAAGTCCCAATAATTCCAGGTAAGCCATGGTAATTTCAGGTTTTATTCAAAATTCTTGAAAGAGTGTTCAATGGTTTTGTATTTGTATAGTAATAACTATATTACTATATTTCAGTTAAATGGCTACATAGGATAGATAAAATAAAATAACAATAGGAGATTTAAAGGACCAATAATTTTAAAGCTATAAGAGACCTTAGAAACAGATCTTTGATTTAAAACCCTTCATTTTTGTGAGGTTATGAGAACTCTGAAAGATCAATGAGAAAATTCAATTAAATACCATTTTTGTTACCGAAACAAAACAAACCCACCACCAACAAAGCAAAAACAACCCCCCTAAGATATACAAAATCTCAATATTTACCAGTAGTTTATGTTACAGTTTCTCTCTGAAATCAGGAAACGAACTCTTTGGCTCTACAGCCTTAAGAATCAATACCTCATATTTCTCTACTATCCATGAGCATATAAAAATTACTTGACTGCCCTAAGAGTACTAGCAAACTTCCAATATTATATTGATAAATATCTGTTCTATTCTCTTAAAAGAGAAAAACAGGCCCGGAGATTATTTGGTTTGTGTTTTATATTAATTCCCTTAAGGCTGAAAAATGATAAAGATCCTCAGGTTTCCGAAATTTCTCAATACTGGATAACTACCAATCTACTACAGTATAACAAAGTACATTTAGGCAGTAGTGTTGACAAATTAAGGTTTTTGGTTGGTTTTAGAATGTCCCTCATAGATAAAAAAAAAAAGACCCACCTTTTGGCTGCTGGGTATTTTAATACTTAAATAATTCATTTGATGGCTGGGCATGGTGCTATATCCCTGTTAATCCTAGCACTTTGGGAGGCTGAGGCAGGAGGATCACATGTTCAAAACTAGCCAGGACAACTTAGAGACTTAGCAAGACTCTGTCTCAAAATTTTCAAAAAGGGTGCTGGGATGCAAAGGCCCTGAGTTCAGTGCCTAGTGCTACAAAAAAATTGACATCTAAGTCTAAATTATTATCTTCAACTAGTTTTATTTATTCAAATTCTCATAGAGTTTTATTAGAGGAGTACTTCCTCCCATATAGACAGCACAGCACCCATTTAAAAAAAGAAAGTTACTGAGGTAGAACATAAGTGTAGTAGAAACTACCCTCATAAATGTTCACTTGTCTAAGTTTTGTATGAGGGAGAACCAAATGAAAATTATATACAATGACCAAGAACAAAAACATACAGAAAACAAAGGAACAAAAAAATCAATTTCCCAGATAGATTTGACAGCAAAATGACTGAGAAAATAATCAGTGAACTTGAGTATAGATACACAGAAAATGTGCAATCTGAATCGAAGAAATTATAGAAAAAAGGATTTTTGAAAAATGAATACAGCTTCAAGGATCTATAGGAGAATTTCAAAAGTCCCAACATTTGTGTTAGTATAATCCTAGAAAAAAGGAGAATCACTACGTGCAGGAAAAAAATATTTGAAGGAAAAATGCCTGAAAACTCCCCAAATTTGGTGATACATTCAAGCTCAATAAACTCCAAACAGGGTAAGCTCAAAGAAATCCAGACCTAGATACATAATAATCAAACTTTATCTTTAGCTAAGAACTAAAAATAAAGATCTTGATAGCAACCAGAGAAACACAAGAGTTAAAATTATCTCCTCTTGAAATGTTTGGTAGAATTTGCTAGTGAAACCATCCAGGCCTGGAGCTTATTTTAAGGTAAACGTAATTTTTTAAATAATGCATATTGTAAATTATATGATACCTATCAAAGCTTATTTTTAAAAAGTACAAATAATAATCCAATAGTGGAGAGAAAATGGAATAAAAATGCTCAACTTTCAAAAGTAGGCAGGAGAAAAAGAAAAAAAAGAAGTAGAGAATATATGGAACATATAGAATACTCCAGCAAGATGATTTCAATCCAATGATATCAATTACATTAAGTATAAATGATATAAACACTCTTCTTTTTAAGTTCTTCATTTTTAATTAATTTATTTTTTCTGATACTGGGGATCAAACTCAGGACCTTGAACTTGCAAGGCAGGCAACAGAACCACTGAGCTAAATCCCCAGTCCTAAACATACTTCTTAGAAGATATGACTACCATACAGGAAGAATCAACTATATGTTTGATAAAAAATGCACTTGAACAATAAAAGCACTGATATTTGATATGTTGAATGTTAAAGAATAGAAAAGAATATACCATACAAATTGTAATCAAAAAAAAGCTGGAATGACTATATTAATATCAGACATACTAGAGTTATTACCAGGAATAAAGAAGGACATTATCTAATAATCTATTATCTAATAATAGAGAACAATCTCCTAAAAACAGAGCTTCAAAATACGTGAAGTAAAACATATGTAACTATGAAGAAGACAAAAATCTATAATTATAGACTAATATTACCGTCTCAATAATCAAAAGAAAAAGTTAACAAAATTATAAGGAAGTGTATAAAAGTATATAGAAGGCTTGAATATTATTAACAAACTTGACTTTATTGCTGTTTACAGGACATGCTGCCCAATACTTGTGGAACACAAATTCTTTTCAACTCCACGGGAAACACATGGAATATTTGTTAAGATGGATTATATTCTGGGTCAAACAACAAATCTCAACAACTTTAAAAGAACTGAAACAATATGAAGCATATTGTCTAACCACAAAAGAATTAAAATAGAAATCAATAACAGAAAAATATTATATTACATCAAGTATTTGGAAATTAAGCAACATACTTCTATATAACCTGTAGTCAGGCAGAAGAGAATTTTAAAAAAACATTTCAAATGGAATGAAAATTTTCAAAAAATCAGAATTTACTGGATGGTGGTAAAGTGGTACTTTGAGAGAAATTTATAAATTAATGCTTATTTAGAAAAGGAAAAAGTTCCCAAATCAATGATCTAACTTCTACCTTAAACAAGTAGAAAGACAAGAGCAAGATAAACCTAAAGCAAGCAGAAGGAAGAGGGAAGAAAAGATAAAGAAAAGGAGAACAGAAATCATGTAAATGAAGCAGAAGAAACCAGAAGAATCAAGAGAACCAAAAAGTGGTCCTTTCAAAGATGACTAAACTTCTAGCCAGAATAATCAAGAAAAAGAGGGAGATAATATAAATACTAATCTATGTAATGAAAGAAATGAAGTCATTATTGATTCAATAGTTATTAAAAGGTAATTAAGAATAGAGAATATTATGAATTTAACTTTGATAAAATGCATAATTTTATCAAATAACACTCATTCAAGCAGAAATGGATAACCTGGGTAGTCCTATAGCTATTAAATTCAAAATTTAAAATCTTCTAACAGGATGAATTTTCACTCATGACAGGCTTTAAAAAATTAATTTCTACCCTCTAATTAGAATTTTTATACTTTCTTACATAAGAATTTTCATGTGTATCATAAGTCACTGAAATGTTTGTTCCTCTTAAAGATTAAAAGTGTAAATAGTTAGAAAAATACCAGAATTTTAGTTTCTAGAAATAAACTAAATGTCTTTAACCTGGTTTTCAAAAAATGCCTAATTAGGGTCGGTGATTTAGCTCAGAGGTTCCACCGCCTGCATTGCAAGCACAAGGACCCAAGTTCGATCCCTGGTACAAAAAAAAAAAGCCTAATTATATTCCAACGTTCATTTCACAATAGTAAAAAAAGAGGTCAACTTATTATAAGTTTAAGAAAAAAAATGTGCTCAATTGCTACATTCTTGTTTTATAATCTTAATCAAGAACAAAATTCTATTTTTAATAACTACAAAGGAAAGACTATCAGTTCAAAGTCATCAGTGGGTGATATGAAATGTTGTTTTACAGTTGGCATTTCTAATCTTTCTGAAATTCAATGGTGCATCCTTGAAAGGAGGTATCATATACACACTTCTACACAGATTTTTATCAATAATCATTTGATTTTGAAATAACTCCATGAGGTAGGAATTCTCTTGATTTTAAAATAAAGAAATTGCAGCTTACATAAATTAAATAACTTTACTGGGACTTCATAGCTTAATGAAGATGAAATTTGAAGCTGGGTTGAATTTACACATACTCCATCTATCTGCTGTGGATTCAAGTGTGGAGAAGGCAGATACTATACTGTTCTTTTTCCCATTAACTCCTTTTGAGGCCTCAGAGAATTAATTCTCTTATCAAATGCTCTCTTTCATTGGGGAACATGGATATCCAGAAGATAGGGAAAAAACATTGATAAATCATTTAGAAACTTCTGTGGCTTTAGACATTGTTATTTAGAGATAGAACCATAAAATTGAAGTATAAAACTATTTTACATATTCATCTATAATTCATACTGAGGTCAGCGAACAAAATCCACTATTAGAAGGAGAAACCACAGTACAACCAATGGCAGGTTATTGATTTGGTTTCCTTTCACAAAAGATAGCAAATTTTAACCCATGTAATTTTCATAGGTGAGTCACTGATAAATTTAGTCCACACTGACTAATTTTAGCATTATCACATTTCTCACAGTGTTTTTGCTGCCCAAAATGTTTGCATCAGTTTTGGGCTAACATTTTCTATCATGAAGAGAAATTAGTTCATATTGGTGATTTTTGCACCAGACACAAAAATCCTAGTGAATAAGACTTTATCAGGATTTTGGTAATTCTCCCAAGAATTTTTTATACAAGACAGTTATAATTTACTACTTGAAGATTTTTGTTTTATTGGGGAAATTGTTAGTTTAATTTCTTTGAAGAATTACTACATCTTCAGAAGAGTTTTATGATGGTGAAAAAAATAGCTTTCTGATGTGAAATTATTCAATTAGGAGAGAAAAAATACTCACGGTTGAGCCCCGATTTCTCGAAGATGATAAAAGAGTTGTGGGAGATAGGTTTGAAGAAGGGTTTCAAACAGCAAACAGAGTGACACAATACCCTGGATATGACAAATAGATGGTTTAGTATTTAAAAGTTAATTATGCCAATAAATTATCCAAACAGAAAATGAAAAAAGACTATGAACATAAATACTTGATATTGTTTCAGTCAAAAATAGGGGAGGCACTAATAGATCTCTAACTCTGTATTTAAGGTTATGCTTTCTGTCTCTATATGCATATTTCCACTTAGGGACATACTAAAGAGCCTCCTTTGTTGGCTTTGGTGGCACATGCCTGTGACTCCAGCACTTAGGAGTCTGAGGGCTACACAGTGAAATTCAAGGCCAGTCTGAACTACTGGACTACACAATGAGGCCCTGTTTCAAAAACAAAAAAAGTCTCCTTTTAAATACAGTAGGTTCCCAACATAAGCCCTATTAATACCCGGTGAGTCAAGACAAACACCACTTTAGGGAAGACCTGCTACTTTGTTAGCCACACAGGTAGGCCCAGCAAAGTCAGTTTTTTTCTGACACATTATAGTTTTCAGGTGTTTATCTCCCAGGTGCTGAGCCCATACCCTTCACTCTCTCCCTCCACGTGTCCCTTCCCCGCCAGCCTCACTCTCCGGGAAAATATTCCCTCCTTCTCGCACGATGTCTCTGAAATCTACCTCTGAAAAGACTGATGCTGATCACTTGAAATTCCTATCAGGAAGTTTTCAAACAAGAATATTTGATTAGTATAAAGTTTTTGTTTTTACTAAAATCTACATTTTCTTCAAAAGGGCATTATTTGTAAATTGTAAGAAGTAACTAAGCTGATGATTTTCAAGGCTGTTTATTATTTGCTCTGAATAAAGTCTTTCTTTCAGCTCAGCATTCCTCTGGGCTGATCTTAGGAAGGAAGTTTTAATCCTCTTTTTGAGTTTCTGAAGAAATAAGGCTGTCATAGTTCCAGATTGTTCAGTGTGGCTGCAAGCCAGAAGAGGAGATGACTGCCTGTATTATTCCACTGAGTGGAGACGGGTAGGGGCAGGGCCGACCCAGTCTGCAGCCTGCAGACGCGAGGGACGCACAGAGCTGCGCAGCGTCGGGCTTCAGGGTGCTGGGCGACACAGCACCTCGCATGTTTAGTGCAGCCAGGTTTTTAAACTCTGAAGCATAAAACCTATAGAACATAAGCGTAAATTCCTGATGCTAAGATATTAGAAAAGAGAAATACTAATATTAATTACTATTGATATTTCTAATTATTCTAGATTGCATGCTAACATAAGATAACAACTAAATCACGTTCTTCTAGAGAGAAGCCCGAAATAACTGGCGGTGCTTGTTTATCTGTGACATCCTGGAATTCTGTCGTTTGTCAACATTCACTAGCCAGCCATGCAGAAGAGTGAAACTGGATACAAGGGAAGGAGGAGAGGAATACCTAGTCTCAAAGTAGGAAGATAAACTAGAGTTAATTTAGTAGGAGTCACATAGTCTACTCTGGAGAAATTTAGTAGCCCTGATACACATTCCATTACTAACCTCATTTATAAATGAGGAAATCAGCAAAGAAGGTAAGCATCTTGCAAAGGGTAATAATTGCAGGCTTTTCAAGTTTTTTCTTTTAATATATAAAAGGCTAATGTAGTCAATATGAGACTTTTTCCTCTTTATTACCAAAAAATTCTAAAATCATTTTCTTCTGCTCTTTTATCCTACAGAAATATGTTGACATTATAAATTAAAATTTGTTGCTTTATAATTTAATGGCATAGGAGACTTTTTCGTACAGCAAAGAACAGATTACAGTCTGATTTGATCCAGTTTTTTATGGACTTACAGAAGGGTGAGAAGAGATGGAATGCAGTCTGAAGAAAAAACGCACATACATCTCACGGAATGTCTGATACAGTTTATAAGGTTCATGGTAGAGAAAACAAAGTGGTGCAACTGAAAGAAGAAGAAATTAATTGATAATGCTGTAGAATTCCTAAAACTTTAAAAATCAGTCCATGAAAATGAAAAAAATAGATAAATATTTTATAGTAATCATGCCATTCAAAAACAAGTTTGAAATCATACAGTTTTTCACTTTGAAAAGAGAATATATGCACATATTAAAGTGAAAATAACCATTAAATATTATAACAAAAGGAGAGTAAATTATAAATGAGTATAATCTCAAGAGTACACTAATATGATATGATGGACTTATATAGGGACGGTAAAAATTAAAAGTAAGATTACATAAAATTGTACTCTTAAAAATTGAAATAGAAAGTGACAATCAGGCAGTTCATTTTTACTTCATCTCACAAAGGATTCAAGCTGCTTTTCAAAACTTTTAATTTTGGAAGTCAGGTAAATAAAATATAAGACATTCATGACTAACTTTAGAATCAAGGTCTTCAATTAATTTAATTTGAAAATACGAATTTTGAGTAATACTCCTTCACTACTGGTCTACATTGGCACATCTCTATATGCATTAGGACAGTTTTCACTGACAAAATAAAACACTCGTCAGGCAGAGGGTACTTCTTTAATGAATGTGGAATTCCATTTGATTGTGCACCCCATTCTTGGCATTTAAGCTCCCACAGATGGATGTCAAGTGCATCTTGGATGGTGAGCTGGGATCGACTCGTGTCTGCTCTACGCTGACGACCTGGTCACACTGCCCAACTTTTCACATCTCATAGATATGAGGCGGCACCTATGTGCTTATAATCAGATATATAAAACTGTATTGCCTAAATATTAATTTTAATAAAATTCCTTGCTTACAAGTAATTTCAAACAATGTAAATTTGACAATAAGAAGTTCTGGGGTTCTATGAACTGCCAATAAACATCTGAGGCCAGTGAGTGTTAAATAAGCAGGAAAGACAGTAGGCCAATTTAGGTCTCTTCTTTTTAACAGAATGAGAGGAAAAATGGTGAAATATTTTAAATGTGTACAATCCCCAAATGCAAGTATGTGAGAGAAAGGGCAGTGTGCAGTATTATTGAGACAGACTCACTGAACACTAGGGTTGCAAATGACAGATTTTTTTTCTGAAGGGCAAAAGAGCAATTACTTTTAGAGGGGTTAATATCTAAGCAAATATGAAAATAACTACCTGCATATATATTCATAGAAAGAATTATATACAATATTCATGTACTTTACATATAGATATTAAAATTTAAAAATACATCTTTCCATTTCAAAGCTAGTTTTAAAAACTTACAAAATAAGTGGTCACTTATTAAAATAGCCAAAATTAGAGTATCCTATCTTTTTTTTTGTACCGGGGATTCAACTCAGGTCCTTGTGCTTGCGCAGCAGGCAGCAAAACCACTGAGCTAAATCCCCGGCCCCCATATCCTGTGTATTTTTAAAGAGTAATTCACATTCTGCCAGGTGCAGTGGCACATGCCTATAATCTCAGCTCTTGGGAGGTTGAGGCAGAAGGATCCCCATGAGTTTGAGGCCAGCCTAGGCCACATAGTGAGTTCCAAGACCTTGTCTCAAAAAGAAAATTATGTTCTATTTGAAATAATTTAAGAAAAAGCAATGTAGCATTAATACAAGGTATTAATATAAATTTAAAATGAAAGTTTTAGAATTTATATTTTCAAAATAATGCATGTATTATTCTCTAAATTAAAAAAATTATTGACATATAAGAACCTATAATCTGATTGTGATTATTAATGGCCATTTCCATTGCAGAAACACTGGGAAATTTTTTAAAAAATGTTTCTATAAACATATATAACACAAAACTGTAACAGTTATTGAAGATACCACAATTATTTGTTGAATTCCCATATGTAGCTACAAAACAGAGAATTTTTAGATCATTATATATAATATGTAAAAAATCTATACTACTTAATTTTTTATTTTAAGTATTTTTCCTATTTGGTTCTTCTACAGAAATAAATTTAGCTTATTAACTTGTACTGTAGGAGTTTATGAAATTTTATTATACATTTATAATTTGTATAAATGGAACAGAAAGCAGTTCAGAGGAAAGTTTTAAATGGATTTTAAAAAGAGGTAAATACTATTATTTTAAAAATACAGAAATTGAAACAGAAGTGGCACAGTTCTAACTAGAGCTTTACAAGGGTGAATTGTGATTATTCTAATATACTGACTCTAAGCAGTTGCTGTGGAAGTATTAGTGGACGGTTTCATAGTTTCCTAAATAGTAAACTCTATATCAAACATAAACTCTATATCAAAAATTTTGGAGAATGTACTGTATTTGCTTAGCAAAGGTCTTCCCCTGGGATGTATAAATCTTAGCCTGTTAAATGACCATGAATGTGAATAGCCAGAGCCTGGCTCAGTGACGAATTTTGTACAAAGATTGTTAGATTTAAGCTTTCGTGACATAAAGTATCCTTTAGACCACACATAAAAATATTTACTTGAAAAATTCTTGCAGTTGGAATTATTCAAATAAAGACATAAAAAGCATACATTTTTATTATTAGAAGTAAAAATTTATATTCATAACCTTTTTAGATCCCATTTTAGATTCTGTTTTAGATTCCTTATGTATTTATAGAAGAGAAATATGCTGGAAGAACAGTATAATATTAAATGTTATGAAATTCTGCCAAGAGAATTAGGGTAGTATAATTAAAGGTTGTAAGCGACATCATGAAGACAGCATAATCTAAAGCCCCTAGGCACCCTGCACCCTTTTCACTGTATGCTTAGTTTAAGTTTTATGCCATCAACTGTCTGATGTTCAACATGAAGATGCTTTCTACAAATAAAAGCATTAATTTCTTGCTTATTCTTTTTACAAAGGTAAAGCATTAAGGTGTTTCTTTTTATTCTAAAGGTAAGAGGTAGAAATAAAGAGAACAAAGGTAACAAGTTTATTTGTAATACATAAACATTTAAAAATTAATTGGCATTAAAGCGTTGAGCATTCCTCTTGCTAATCTTAGGGAAGCTTCTTCTCCCCTAATTGAGGGACAGTGTGCAGATGGAAAGGCACTTGGAGCTCTCAGGCCTGCATGTGCGTTTCCTGAGGACGAGCGAATGCTCTAACTGTTGCTATGCATATAGGAGTCTGGAGACACCATGAGCTCAAACTCAGTGTTGTCCTTCTTTTCAGATTCTTTCTGACTTTTTTTTTTAAAGATTCATATAAGAATTAGCTCAGGGATTTAAGCACTCTAGTTTAAGCCCTGCTACAGCTAAATATTAAGTGTATCTCTACTCCATTGAATTAGGAGATGGTAAACCTCAGAATAATTTTCATAGTGTGTTCTAATTCTAATCTGACAAGCAATCAACATCTAAATAATTATGATGACCTCTTATTTTCAATTTAATAATGAAGAAATTCTAAACTCAATGTTTAAAAATGTTCATGTTCATTTGCTAAGTGTGTGGATGATGTGATATAGTGTTTTAATGTTTAAATTTCATAAAGTGTAATAAAAACAATGAATATTTTAAAGCCCAACTTACCATACATTGAAAATCCATGAAAAGGGATTACACCTAAAAGATTAAAAAAAAGTTTCTTTTCAATAAGTAGCATACTTCTGCTTGTTAGGTAAACTTTAATGGATGACAATGGCTATTCCCTATTGTTTCCTTTACTTTGTTCATAAATGTCAAAAAAACTTAGTGATGGTAAGTTCTTAGTGATAAGTTCTTAAATACCTTTATAAAAGGAAACTGGAAGTTCAAATATATTCCAGTTAATTTTTTATTGATAATATAGTGTCATTAAAATTGAACATGTATACACATACACATATATACTGAGTGTACACACACATGATGAGGCAGATCAGAGAATCAAACTTAAGAACTAATGATAATGGTACCACAAAAAGTTAATAGATAGTGTCCCCTCGGGAACAACTTCATTCTGTTTATTAGAACCCAATCTGCTAAAGGATTAGTGAGCTTTTCAAGGCACTTCTTTGAAAATATCACTTTACAGAAAACACCATGGATGTTTCATGAACCTACTAAAAATTACATAATGGACGTGGGTTAGAAGAAATATTGGCAGAAATATGGTACAAAGTAAATACTATATTCTTTGGCAAGAATTACACACAAGTAAAGTAAACATCCTTTTCAAAGAAATACGCAAAGCTTAACTTACTGTGCTAAACATCTTGTCATATTCTAAGTGAAAATGTACAGCCTAGGTTCAAAACAGAGTTTCTTTAATAAATACTGCTGTGTACCTAACGGTGCACTAAATCAGCTTGCAAACACAGTACAGGAGAAAGCTGAGAAGTTTCCTTTTTTGAAATATAGGACAGAATGCTTTATTCATCTAACATGTTCAGAGGGAAAACCTTGATGCTGGCAGGTCATCTAGAGTAAGTTCTAAGAACTGATAATCCACTTTCTGCTTAAATCACATCCAAAAATAGAGGATACATTAATTTCCAATTGAACAACACAATTGTGACAAGGTTTAATTTGGAGGGATTTATTTCTCATACTGAGTCAAATACTGGTTTCCTGTAATGTCTATTTCTTATTCCTGGTTCTGACCCCAAAAGTCACAAAGAAAAAGTCTAATTTATCAAGTGCAGTATATAAAAATTTTCAGAAATGTTTGCTCTCCTCCCAGCTCCATCACATCAGAGTTTTTTGCTTTAAGCCTTTATGAGTTTCTTTACTTGTCCCTCAGATGAAGTGGGCTTAAATAGCTTCCCTATTTTATTTGCTCTGGACAAGCTGCCACAGCCCTTAAATTATTTAAATTAGATGAGTAAAACCTCTAAGTATTTTTTCCTTCTGCATACTCTACAGCTAAGACAATCCATTTGAGCAGTTGTTTCTGGACCTAAGTAAAGGATTATATTCTTATCTCTGTCACATTTCTTATTTGGTCAACCATTCCAATTGGAGGCAATTCTGAATTCTCATTCTGTTATCTAATGCGGTCCTTATTCTTCTTGGTTCCACATTACTGGAAAATTTGATATGTACATTATCTATGTTCTCATCTAAGGGTAAATAAAAATGCTGAACAAGACAGGGCAAGGATAGTAATTGTCACTAGAAACCTCCTCTCATGTTATATCAGTTCATTAATTAGCACCCTACTGCAATAAGGGAAGAGCATGAGTGGGTGCCAGCCAGGCTTGGTTGGCTTCATCTGACATTGTCTCTTAAGAGCTTTGTGTACCTCTGGGTAAGTTTCTTAACTTCCCTAAGCTTCAGTTCCCTTATCTGTAAATCAGAGATAATGCTAGAAACTACACAGTAAAATCGAGATAATGGCTGTAGCTTAGCCATTAATAAATACCTTGGACTTGTAATAAATGTTGGCTGCTGGTACTAACATTCACAAGCTAGCTCATACTTCTTTGTTTCTAGAATTAATTTTATTAAAAAAATAGTATGAGGAAATTCAGTTACTGTACTGAACCAGTTGCCAGGCCAGCCAGCTTCAGAAGTTTGTGCAGATCACTTTTAAGATTTGAAAGCTACAATTCTCAGGACCTACCTTTTCCCATCTCCCCCCAGTCTTATGGCGTGCTGCACAGATTTATATTGCCCAAGTCTGGCTGAATCCTTTGGCTTATTAATTTTCTTGATTAGCCAACCTATTCTTTCAAAATGTTCAAGTGTTTACCACCCACTTATAGACCTTACTTCCCTCATATTGGAAGGCGGATGTCATTGACACGAACTCTTCTCACTTGTCCTTTATATTTCATTTTTTCTTCACTCTCAGCCTTAGAGGAGGAAATATCCCTTTGCTTTTTTAGAGATAACATCTTCACCTGTGCTCTGAATCCTGCTTCTTTAATGTTCTCAGCAATTGGCAACCAAGTTCATTTGTGTGTCCTCTGAGCTAAGAATGGCTTTTATAGTTTTAAAGATTATTTATAAAAACAACAAATGATATGGAATAGAGACTTTGTGACCAGCAAAACTTAAAATATTTATCTGGCTGGTTATAGAAAAAAAGTTTGCCAATCTTTGCTTTTGAATCCTTCAGTACCAATTACCCCCAGTCACATACATCATTCAGTAAAATATGGATTGAGACCCTACTGTGTGCCCTTATTATAATGACTGGAGCTGACCTTTTATTGCAGAAAGAAAAATCACAATAAGTGAATGCATGTCAGATAAGCACTAAGAGCTACAAAGAAAAGTAATGGAGGGAAGGGGGATGATGGGGAGGTCCAGGGTGGGGAAGGGTGGAGGAGGCCTTCCTGATAAAAGAGCCATGTAAGGTTTGGAGGTGAGAATCAGCTCGTAAGAGGTGGCCTGAAAGCTCTGGGATTCATGTGGTCATTGTCACGGACAGGAAAACGTGCACTAAACACAGCCCATTTTACAGTGGAGAGGGAAGTGATCTGCTCTTTCCTCCTACAAATGGAGGCAGAGACAGGGCCATTCAGGCAAGGATTTTATAAAAATATCCTCACATATCAGTGTTATCAAAAGTCCATTTTCTTCCTAGAACCTACTTTTCCATCAAGCAAGTGTATAATCTCTTTCCTTCCTTCAAAGCCAAGCTTAATTTTAAAAAAACTATCTATATTCACTACCTTTCCTTCCTTATAACCCTCAAGCACTTGCAAAGTGATTTTTATCCCTATGGCCCTAACTTCTGGTCAATAAATCCAGGGGTCTCCTCTCTTCATGTGTTGTAGTTAATGGCCTTACAGCAACTGAAATTTCCTTCCCAAACTCGACTCTACTGTGACACTGATGTTTCTATGCAGATCAGCTTCTTTGTAGCCCAGAAATTTCTGCTGTTCAGTTTCGTTTTGGTATTTGTTTTGCTCTTGGGTAATTAGTTCTTCTGCCTAAAGATTCTGTCACCCTTGTTTCCCTTTTCTTTCCACCAGTATTTTCATCATTCACCTATAATCCAAGCTAAAAAGCCCCATAATCCAAAGCCTTCTTTGGGACATTCTGTTTCTATAAAGGACTCGCTACCTCCTTTGTCCTTTTCTCTCTAGTTCTCTCTCAGTCCTGATACCTAAATGTGTTATGTTCCTTTCTGGTCCTTGTAGGATAGCAAGTATTTAATTCTTCGACCTAATGTCAGCAGCTTCATTCCTTTTCTCTACATCACAAATACAATGCTATCCTCCCGAATCAATCGCCATCCCTTCAGTCTCTGGGGACAGATCAAAGGCTCTCCCCCATTTCCAGCCCTATCCCTGAACCATTCCTTCAAGAGCATAAATAATGCTTCTCCTGGCAAGATCTCCCTGACAGTCCCCTACCGCTCATCCCAGGAAATTCATCAATGATTAGTCTTGTGTCACCTGACTTGCCCCGATGGAGGTACTCCTCTGTGCATCTAGAAAATGCTGCACAATTCTGGTTCTACTGCTTTCTGTCTGTAGACATTCAGGGAGGTTAACTTGTTCCCTCATCTAAAGCTGCTCTTGAACTAAGGAGGATTGGCTTGGGCTGATGTCCCTGCTCTGGCCCTCCTGTTTGTACCCCTCTCACTCACTGCCCACGTCTCTACTTGCAGATCACACCCCAGGTACCCAGGACTCCCAAACTCCCAGCCCAAAGACCCTGAAGCCAGCTTCTGGGGCTTGCACGTTTTCTCTGGTGGAGGCTCTGTCCTGACAGTGTATGCTGCAAGACACCGAGGCCGCCAAAGGGGCTATCTGTGGAAACATGAAACTGTAGAGATGAGAAGGGGGTAGGGACGCTACAGGCTAGGGACTGCTGAGAAGCTGAAGAATTCTGAATTTGAGCCTGGTCTTCTAGATTGTTATGGAGGTATATGTGTCAAGGCAAGGAAACAGTAAACATTTTATTAGTCTGATTTGTAACTTTTAAATATTTTTAGACTTATGATAGGTAGTCCTCATTTGTACTACTGCCTTGGGGTCCTGTAAAGGTTAAGAGTAGACCTACCTTCATCTATAAAGGGGTGACAATAGCAATGAGGTAGTGATGATTAAATAAGATAATGGATGTACTGTAGTAAAATACTTGACCCAAAGTCAGTACTTAACACATGTTACTTTCCTGCCCTAATCTACTGTCCTATAATCAGTTTTTATTTCTCTCTCTCTCTCTCTCTGAACAGAATAAATCCTTTGAGTGCAGGAACTGTTTCTTATTTATCTCTATCCCCAGAGATAAGTACAGTGCCCACAATACGATAAGTATTCATTAAGTGCTTGCAGAACAAGTACATGAAGGCCTGGAGAACCTGCCTATACAGTTTTTCAGCCTCTCACTTTCTTGCCTATTTCCAGGGCTTGTAAGTAACATCTAACAATGTGTCCGAAGTAAATGCAGAAAAATTTGTGACTTGCAGAAAACTATATATGAAGCATTTTCAATAGTACGATTCTTTACCAACTTAAGTGTGCTTTGCTTTTTAGAAACTAAATTTTAGAACCAGATTCGATTGACATTGAAAGTCATTATGTATTCCTGGTGACACCACAGGACTGGCCTTCTTCAGGCATCCTTCTCTCTTCATGTCTTGGTTGAGTCTTTCTTCCTGTGAATACCCTTCCTTCCCAAAC